GGACAATATAACCATGGACCTTACAACTTAGAATAATCTAATCAGCCTTAACATCCACAACCGCAGTTAGTAAGGACTTCAAAGTTAAAAAAAACACCCTAAATCAGTACTTGCAGATTTCTAAGGATGCTCAGAAGAGTATGGAAGCTTCAATGAAGAATCTTAATGATTAATTAGGTCAACTTATGGAACAGTTAGGGAAGTAAAAAGAAGAATAGATTGCAACAACACTCGACCTAATCCAGAAGAACAATGTGAAGCCATCACATTAAGGATTGAAGTGGAGAGTGTTGACAATGTGGAGTTGAAAGATGAGGAGGTGAAAGTAGAATGGTCATAATTAAAATATATAAACAATCTGAATTGTCATGATTAAAATATATAAATAATGTGAATCTTTTTTAAAAAGTCACGTGATCTTATAATTATGTCTAGTTATATATAATTATATTATTCAAATTTATGCTCCTAACTCTCATATAAAAAGACTTATCTCATTATATACATTTATTGTATATATTATATAATATTTAAATTTTAAATTAGTTAAAACAAGTTTTTTATGTAAAAATCAAATTAGCACTAATTAGATATCAAAAAGTTAAAATTTAATTAATATGCACGATTAGTTTAAATATAGTAGCCAATAGCAATTGTTATCGCAGTAGAGAAACTCTCTACCGTTATTTCAAGTGCATAGCATTGTGGTTATTGGTAACAATTGGAGCTATGTAAATAGCAGCAAAAATCACAAGAAATCATAATTGTCATGGCTGCTATTTAATGCACAATTGAAATGTCAAATTTACCCTTGTTTACTTAATGTTAGAAGGCTTTAAAGGGGGCAATTTTGGAAATTTTCTCCCTTTCCATTGTCAAATTTTGCATGCTTTTGTATTGTACTCTTGAACCTTAAGTGCTCCCATTCACTATCTTAGACAACTTCTATTTCATCTAGCAATTTCCATAGTAGCTGACATTTTTTTCTAGTCAAGTTTCAATCATCTTTTTCATCTTTAACAAAATCTACTCATTTTATACGTGACACATTTGCATTAGGGGCTACTCACTAATAAAAATTTGATTTTGTTCAACATATCCAGCCATTTTATAGTCATCTTCTTTATTTCTAGTAAGACCCACACATTTTTCAGCAAGACCATATGTGTTAAGGGCTTTTCAGATGAGACCCACTTTATTTTGTTCTATTTTTCTTCTTTGTCATATTTTGACTTCTAAGAACCCCTTTAAATGATTGAAATTTGAAATCTTTCAGTATAAATATGTGTAGCATAATCTATATATGCGTATTTTAAATTTTCAAAATAGTGGTTCAAGATTGACTACTATGTATCTAGCTTAACTTAGGGTCTTGAGTTCAAATCCTACAATACCTGTGATCTAGACCATTATTACCTAAAATTTCTAGGTAAAATCTAGAGTATCCCTTGTAATTGAGAGGGTTTGGTACCCTCTCTTACACATGGAATAATTTTGAATATTAATTTTATATTGGTAGATAATGAAGTTAGCAGTTTAGTTGAAAAAGACGTTAATACCCTCTCATCTTTAAGACATTAAAAAAATCACAATCGTTAATTTGGAGAGGATATAGAATAAGTTTACACATACCACAACAAGCACCAAGTTTTCATCCCTTCCACCCTCATGGTTACTCAATAACTCAACATCATTGGCATTTGTTAACCATGTATGGAGTTGTTTACCAAAAACCTCACAAAAAATGTTAAGATGCCTTGAATTTATGTGTCTTGTGTTTTAGCTGTTATTCTCTTTAATGGATTGTAATGAAAAGTTATGGATTATGTTGAGCTATAAGTCATTATATACATAATTTTTAAAAGTAAATAAGACACTTTTCTCTTATGTATATTGTATTCACAAATTCCAGTAATAAAAATTTCAATGATTTTATTGTAAATCATGTAAGTTTGACAATTAGTAGAGACAAGATTATTGAAAGAAGAAATAGTAGCCAAAGTCATTCATGCTCTAAATTGCGAGAAAAAGGGGTGATGCTTTAAATTGCAAGGAGAAAAAGGTGAAATATTATTACTGTAAAGAAAAAAGGCATATTAAAAGAAGTGTTCACAGTGAAAAAAATGAAAATAAAAACAAAATTAGTGCAGTTGTTGCAAAAACTAATGCATATGTTTTTACTTCTTATCATATGACTTTCAAGAGATGATAATGTGAAGTTAAAAGATAATGAGGAGCTTAGTATGAAAAGGAATGATTTATTATAGATAAAGATGTATGATGACATTGTCATAATGTTCAATACTTTTGAATGTTTCCGGTTTGCAAAATAATATATTTTATGTTGGTACCTTGGATAATCAAGGTTATAGTTTTTCGATAAAAGATGAACAAATTGTAATTTCTAAATGTGCTCTGGTTGTGATTAAAGGAAGATTACATCATGGTATTTATACTATGCTCAGCAACTTTGTTGAAGAAACAATGTCAATGTTTCATTCCTTAAAGAAGCATACTAATAATAAAAAAATTTGGCATCATAGATTAGCGCATATGAGTGAATGAGGACTTGTAGTGTTAAACAAACAAGGATTGTTCGGTAGAGTAATAACTGAAAAATTGAAGGTTTGTGAGTCTTGTGTCATGGGTAAGCAACAAAAATTTAATTTCAGTTATGGTAAGCACATTTCTGAAGAAAAAAAATCTTGTAGTATGTTCATTTGGATTTATGGCATCCTTTTTCAGTGGAGTCTCTTTCTAGATGCAAATATTTTGTGACGTTTATTGATTATCACACTAGGAAAGTTTGAGTGTACTTTCTAAAGGCTAATAATTAGGTGTTTGAGCGATTCAAGAAGTGGAAGACTATAGTTGAAAAAGGGACTAGGAAATAAGTTAAAACTCTTAGAACAAATAATAGATTGAAGTTCTACAATTAACCATTTGATGACTATTGTGACCTCTCAAAAGGTATGGTCTGGTAAACCTTATAAATACTATGGCTTACATATATTTGGTTGTCTTATTTATGCTCATTTTAATGATGGAAAATTAGGGTCTAGGATAATAAAATGTATATTTCTTGGATATGCTACAATTGTTTGAGGGTATAGATTGTGTTGTACTAAAAAGAACAGGACACCAAAATTTATTTAATGCCAAGCTATTACTTTTGATAAGCATGTTGTATGTGGCTGGAAAGAGAAGGTTAAAAATCTTGCAGGTAACAAAGGTTCAAATCAAGAAGTTCATTAGAAGGTGAAGATTAAAGTTGATGTCTTAAATAAAGAAGATTTAAATCCTGTCAACTAGCACACTGAAGTACGAGATGAGTCACAAAGTATAGTAACAAGGAGAACAAGGAAGAAAATAATAAAAAAAAAAAGTGAGGCATGTAGATGTAGTTCATTTTGTTGATACTAACTCTATTGCTTATACCGTGGCAGTGAGTGAAAATATTGATTATAATGAGCCTAAATCTTATAAGGAGGCAATTCAGAGTAAAGAAACATTAGTTTGGTTAATTGCCATGAATAAGTAGATGCAGTCACTTGAGAAAATCATATATGAGACTTAGTACCATTATCGAAAGGTGTAAAGCCAATAGGTTGGAAATGAATGTTCAAGAAGAAAGAAAAGATTCCTAGAGTTGAACCATCAAGGTTTAAGAGATCTTGTGAAGAGAAGATCATTGACATATATCTTAACTTTTTATGGATGTGCTATTAGCTTGAAATCAACACTTTAGTCTACTATTACTTTGTCTACTACAAAAGTAAAGTACATGTCATTGACAAATAGGGTTAAAGAAGGCATATGATTTGCTAAGTCTTATTAATAGCTTAGGCTTGGATGTGCAAAGACGTGCTCTTCATTGTGATAGTCAAAGTATATTGAACTTGGCTAAAAATCTAATTGACATGAAAGATCAATGCACAATTGATATTAAATTGAATTTTATTTGCGATGTGATTGAAGATAAATTGTTTCTATAGAGAAGATAGTCGTAAAAGATAATCAAGCAGATATGTTGACTAAGCCTTTGCCTACAAAGAAGTTCAAGTATAACTTAGACTTCGTGAATGTTTGCATAACTTAAGACTCTTCAAAGTGTGTTGATAGGAGATTGGTTGCTGAAATTTTGAGAGAATTCAAGTTAAAACGAAGAATTATTGATATGCTTTGAATATGTGACTCATGCTTCTTGAGTTTCAATTATTATTTTTTTTAACAAAAATTATTTTATTTAATAAATTGTAATTGAGACTCATAAGTTGTTTTGGTGAATTATAAATCATTATATACGAAGTTTAAAAGTTAATAAAACACTTTTCACTTATATATCTTATACTATATTCACAAATTACAATAATAGAAATATTTCATTTTTTTTCAAGTTACTACATTATATTTTGTGTTCTCCTTATTATTCATTTTTGTTTTTTTCATAATAAAATAGCTATAGAAAACATGTAAGATGAGCACCAAATTGATAGGGTTTTCTCAGAGCAAATATGTTGTAGGAAAACATCCAGGGGTTGCAGGCTTTGAGTAAACTTTTTAAATTCTTTGTTTTCACCTGTTTACTTAACAAAATCACTTTTCTTTTCTTTATTTTTATGTTTTAAAACAACACAATTTCTATCCAATCTTTCTTTATTTTCTCTCCTCTAATTTCATTCTTCCTAATTTCTTTCCTAGCTCTTTTTTTTTTAATCTAAATGAAGGAACATTAGTAGCTTCTAAGGTAGAGTTTATTGGTCTCCTGACTCGCCTTATCATTTTTCACCAATGTCATACTTTTGTTATCAAATATCTAGCGATAAGGATTTTGAAAATTGCCGCATACAATCATTAAAGTAGACATGACATACTAAAGATCGATTTTGAAACATTAGATTCCCTAGCATAAAATGCTGGCATACCAAATAAAATTATTAGATCTTTCATACCTAGTCTTTTCCGAAAGGCATCAAAAAATAAACACTCTTTGTCCCTCGAAAAGGTACTATTTCTTACAGAGGAAAAGAGGTCTTTGAACACGCAAACGCGGGTGTATACTGTCTACTGCACCTCTCGTGGCATTGGCTTTCTTTACCCTCTGCTCTCACATTAAAAGTCACATATGCACATAACAAAAGGTTCACTAGTTATTAGATTGCATGTAAAAGCAGAACAGAATAGAAAGATACCGGAGAGCAAGATAAGGATCAGAAAGAGTAAAAAGTGACTTTATGATCCTCCACTAACTACTTAGCCCAGCGATCACACAACAAAAGGGCAATGTCCTCCATGTGATCTGTTGTTGTCTTCCATTTACATTAAAAATGGAACATTCGTTCTTTCCCCTCCTCTGTCATAATATTGTGCGTCTTTGTATTTATCTCCTATAATCGCCAAAAAGCAGATTTTAACTGAATTTGACATCAAGCTGCCAGAACTTTGGTTAGTTTTGCTACTTCCTGCAGTTTTGTCTTCTTTGAACTAAGATTTGTCCCAATTCTGGAATTCTGACATAGTTTTACTACAGAATGCACGTTCTTTTATCTGATTGTGAACCTGCTAAGTGGGTACCTGATCAATCACTGCTTCCAATCAACCCCGTATTCATCTGCATTTCGCTTACTGATTGTCAGAGTGAAGTATATGAGCAACATTGTTCCCATGCTAGACCTGTTTTGGAACATCAACAGAGCAAATGACGGCAAATGACAAAGTGATGAAGCTATAAAATATAGGAGAGTGAATCTTACAACGTGGCAAAGAAAAGGAGAACCCTTTTAGGATCAAGGGCCCATGAAGAAGGTCGTCTGAAACTATTTCTCCTAGTTATACACTTGCTTTCTGTGGTGGTGCCACTGAGGTTGCTGGCTGTGATAGTAATCTGATGATGGACGTGTGGGTTCATCGAATGATCCGTGGACCCTACTGCCAGCACTGTGGACTTTTCGGGCGTGTAAGACCCAACAAGTGGAGCTACAGTCCAAAGTCATGATGAACATAAGAATTTGTTAGCTTGCAAGGTTATTTAAACTTGAGATAATGCCAATGCTTGCGGCCCCAAATATGGGGTACCAAAGGCTACAAATATACCCCTGTGATGCAATGCACTCTTGCCAAACTGATAATTCACTTTCCCTAACCAATTTTCCTTTTAGTTCTACCAAGGTTGACCCAGACGCCTATTTCACAGGCAGCTAAAATGGTCCCATCATAGGGACAGCTTCAGGGAGTAGTTTTCCCTTGAAATAGGCATTCTAAAAATAAAAGTAAAAATAAACATCCTAAATACTTCTCAACTTTTAGGGGCTGAAGGTTGAGAACTGCAGCCCTAAGGTAACAAATCCTTGAGGTAACTCCCTTTCACCTACACTATGTCTAACTCAATTACAAGAGCCAAGCAATTTCACCAGCCTCATAAATAGTAGTTTACAATTTTACTTATCAAGTGTGATTACATTTGTGTGTGGACGTGAGTCCAAAACCTGCTTATAGTGGATCTGTGATGACGATAATGACAGTTAAAATAATAATACACATCATAATCCAGCAAGGTGAGACCTTTCAATCGGGGGACATCCATCTTGTCGTGACACATGTACAGGTTAGTAATGAAATATTTTATGACATTTTATGGACATAAACTAAGGTATTGAGGAGACATTTTAATTTGTCACCTGTGTCCTACATATAAATTCACATCGATTAGTGAGCCAAGTCCATTAGATCAGATAATGGAAACAAACAAACATGTAGATAATTATATTAAAATTCTCTTCGACTAAAAAGAAAGAAAAAAAAAATCCAAAGTAGTGGAATCGTTGAGTTTTCGTCTATCTATTAATGAAAAGCACAAAAAAAGAAGAGACTTTACCATATTTATATAGGAATAAAATAATAAGAGAAATGAAATTGCGTTTTTGCAAGGGCAATGGTACCTTTAGGCGAGCATAAAGCTGAGACGGTATCTTTATCATGAAATGTAGCATTGCCAATCACCTTCCTGTCGCCCAAACGCTGAGATCCTTTCCTGGAAAGGCTCCTCTGCAACTGTTTTTGGGGTGTTGAAATAGTAATATATTAAATTAATTACATTGAACCATTTTTTAAAAGGCAAAAGAATCAACAAAGAGAACAACTTGGGGAGATTGTCCCTTCCATTAGCAAATCATGAGTTTCAAGGAAAAATGAGATTTGGATGGATGTATTGTTAGGAATGAAGTCCCACATAGGTGGGAACTTCAAGTGGGGACCCCTCCTTTGCTTATATAAAGGGTAAGGGTCCATCAAATTAAAAACATTTCAAAATCTTCTTTTTTCCTTTTATTTTGCATTACACCGAGTTTGTACTTGATAGTAATAATCTCTTATTTTGAGGAGTAAATTTTAGAGTGAAGAGTAATGTAATTTTTTTTCCTGTGATAATTTTATATTGTCTTTATTGGCTCTTATTTTTTATCTCTTATTTTAGTTGTGTGTTCATGTATTTTAAGATAATTTTGTTTTCACATCACAAATGAGACAACAAAAGTTATCTTCTTAGATTTTGAATAGTATTTTTAAATTTAAAATATGTATAAAAATGTAATTATGCATGATATTTAATTTTTGAATAATGTTATTATTTTAAGAGCAACTCATTTTATCCATTCTTCAGACGTGGGAATGAATGAGAAAGAAGGACGTGTGTTTGTAAGTCTAATCAAATATTTATATGCATTTTTTTAATGTAGGGGCATATTTACTCTTTTTCGTTGCTAAAATGGAACAAAAGAAACATCCTTTTCACTTCTCCGTGCTTTTATTTTTTTACTTTTTATCGTTTCCCTTCCTTTTCTTCTCATGATACAAAGCAGGAACAAAGAATTAGGCACACAAAGGTGAAAAGGTTAAATTAAATGGGCTACTCCAATAATTTAAACGTTTCAATAGTTAGTTTACAATTATATGTAAAGGCTACATAACGCTTGAGAATGAAATTGCCGTAAAAGTTTAATGGATAGTGATAGCGTGTTGTTATATTACTGCTTTCCCTCTAACTTCAATTGATAATTAATAATTCCACCATTTATTATTATGAAGCCTAGCATTCAAAGATGCAGTAGTAACCCTTTACGGCTATAAATTATGGATTAAAAATTCCAACAAGAAACAGAACACTGACTATGTTTTGCTTGTAATTTAAGCTTGAAAAAAATAAATATAAAAAAAATAAAGTATTGTTAAGGGTTTTATTTAGAGAGAGAATTACCGTAATTCTCGAATTTGCATTGGAGCCATCTTTGTTGATGGCGGAGGGGAAGGCATTCATATCAATCACAAAGCTATCGGCTTTCTCGGCCGGGAATTGAAATGCGTTTACGTGATCCGAAACTGAAAGTTTCTGGGTGTCAATGCCCTTCTGTTCCAATTCCAAAGCCTCTCCATAGCCATAAGAAGATGATGACAAACCCTGCAAAACCGAATCCATGAATACAAACACATTCGGGTATTGAAAAAGGACAACGGAACAGTTACAACGAAGAAAGAGAGTACTTAGGAAAACAAATTCATACCAACTTGGGAATTTCCGCCATCCCACTGAAGAAAAAAACGAGGCTTGCGTGCCGAACGGGGGCACAGCACAGGATATACCTGATTGGTCAAAACTATATATTAAAAGAAGTACACGAATAAACAAACACCAATGGAACATAGTCCCGTGAACCATAAGCCAGAGTTTTTCTCTTTTCTTCTTCAAACTTCCTTACTCAATTATCCGATTGGTTTGGAAAACCAAACAGCGCAAAACACACGAAGAAAAGGAAAACCCACTTACAGAGTCTAACGTTCTTCGCTTCCGGGTCTTCAAGAATCGATCTTTTTCATCTTGCGCAAGCTGTTGTCGATGGAAATCAACAGTGGTGGAAAAGGAATTGCAAGAGTGAAGGGAGAAGATAGAAATGGGTGGGTACAATAAACTGACTTGTAACTACTCTGTGTTTTGTCTGTTTAGAAGGATTGTCTTTCTTGGGAAGAATAAAGAAAAAAAGTGACGAAGAAAACGGTGGACAGAAAGTGTGAGAGGGGAGAGACGTAGAACTATAGAGAGAGAGACAATATGATGAGTTAGTTTTGAGGCCTCTTCAACGTTGTTTACTTGTTTTTGTAGTGCCACGTTTATAATTTCGTATTGGACCTTGCCTCTATCGCTCTTCGTATCATCCTCATTCTTTTGACCAAAAAAATATAGCATCCTCCTTATTATTGTGGTTTTGTTATTATTTTTTAAATATGGATACGCTTTACTGCCACGTTTAGCAAATAATTAAACCCTGTGGTTAAAATTTTTAAGTGTTCCTAATTTAAAGAAAACTTTATTTTATGAAATTAAGTTTATACCATTTTAATAATAAATAATATTGAATTTTGTTCATCTCAGCCTTTACAAGTATAATAAATATATTTTTAATTAAAACTATTATTATTATCTGCTTATACTTATTTCTTAGAGTTGAGTTTAATAAAACTCAATAATATTTACTGCATACATTAACTTATATATTATTTTATTGCATATATTATATCATATATTTATAATTAATATGATATATAGCGTTTAATTGATTATTAAATATTTTTAAAAAATTCTCAAAGTGTTGTAAAAGTTAGTTTCTTTACCTGTTTCATCAATATATAATTAAAACAATGTTATTAAAAATTATATGCATTAATGATAATACATTTATTAAATGTATATTATTAAACATAAAATAATTAGTATAAACATTAATGAATTAAAATATACGTTAAAAAGTTATTACATTTTGTCAATGTTAAAAACTAATTTAGTTTATAAAATATATCTTAAAATAACAAAAGTCAAATGCATCCAAGTGGAGTGAGCATGGAGGAATCAACTTAATCTTCTATTATTTATCTTGACACAGCACATATAAATTAATAAATAATAAACTGTATCTTAGTTTTTATGTTCGATTGTTATTTTAAATAGTGTTGATTGTTGAGTCATTTTATGTTTGATTGCCATCAGTATAGTGCATTTCGTGGCTCTTTTTGCGGTGTAACTCAGCTCGATACAAAATTTTGAGTAGAGCTACCTTTATTATCACAGTTCTTATGGTAGGAATTTATGGTCACAAACATAATTGTTGGCAAGACTTAAATCAGATACGTCGTAGATGCGTTGGGTTGATTCGGTGAAAAGATTGAATACACTCTCTACCACAAATGGATTCTTTTAAAGTTATAAAGCCCTTCTCAGTTATTGGTTTGTTTATCTACACTAGGTTAGGATATTGCTTTGTCGCGGTTCAATTTAGAATGAGATCATCACACTAAGCTATGAACTATGTTATTCCATTTACATTAATTCCTGAAGTCTAATGTTGATTTGGTTAGCAACGTAGAGAGGAAGAAGATGGAACGAAACATGAAAGTTGGAGCAACGAGGCCAGCGATTTCTCCCGCGTAGTGTATTGATCATGCTTAAGAAATGAATATATTCTTCCCTCATGATACTTTGGCAACATGCGTCTACTTCTTATATTCGTGTCCCGTTAGCCATTCTTTAAATGCAATGACTTGCAATTAATGCGGTTGTCTCAAATATAAGAAATTTTTGGTAAAAGATGTGTGAACTCAAAAATCCTTACATATGGCTGTTGCAATTTATAGGTCTCTTGGGCCTTATTGTCCTGTGTCTATGGCTGTCCTTGCGACCCAAGAGCCCCTCCTACGCTGTTGTGCTCCTCTCCATAGAACGGCCCTCTAACTCAAATGAAAACGGCACCATTGTTTGCAGCCTTGAAATAGAGAACCCAAACAAGGACTCAAGCATTTACTATGATGACATATTATTAAGTTTCTTATATGGGCAGCAGGATGATGAGGTTGGGAGGACAACTATAAGCTCATTCCATCAAAAAGGTCAGAACACCCGAGAGGTATATCAAATTGTTAATGGCAAGCCTCGACCGTTCAAACCCCTCATAAATGCCATCTCAAACTCAACCGCAGAGTTGAAAGTTGCTTTGGTGACAAGATTTCGATACAAGACATGGGGAATTAAGAGCAAGTTTCATGGGTTAAACCTTAGAGGCATTCTACCAATTGATTCCGACGGGAAGCTTTCACGTAAGAAGAAAAAGTATCCACTCAGTGGTAATTCCAAAAAACTAACAAGGTCCAAAATAAAACCCTGACCTTCATTTATTTTCTCATTGGTTTTATGTCCCACTCTTCCTTACAACACGTAGAAGGATATAGGGAGACACACAATCATTTGGTTTGGCATTGACCTGGTTGAAGAAAGTTACTTTCATCTAGTACTAGTAGAAGATTTTCTCAAGAACGTAGTTTGTTTATGTGTACATTGGATAGGGAACAATGAATTCAGTATTTATGCCTTTTTTTAATCTCTTGTAATAATTATTCATTTAATGGTGTGTTCAATGAAACTAAAATTTAGCTTTAACTCAACTCCATTTACTACATATCAAAATATATTTTGCTGGCTTTAAGGATTCCTTCTCACCGGAGTCCGACATCTGTTGGCAACTTGTCTCCGCCATTGGTGAATTGAAACCTGAAAAGCAGCCATGGAGGTAGTTTATGATACACCCAACAATAAATTTCATGTGAAATTGTCAACTACGATGTTAATGCATTATACGGAACAAAGCAATAGCATAAGTGCTTGATCATTACAGCTGGAAAGCCACCATAGTCCCCAGGCTCTTTGATGTCCTTAGTTACACAACTTGCTGCAGCGAGCCGAACCTGCAAATGCTGTGTAATCAGATATTTTCTCAACTCCAAGCTCCCAATTTCGCAAAGTAAAAACAGTATAATAGGCAAGGTAGTTAAAATCCCGATTTAAATCTTAAAATTTTACGATTTTACGATTTTGGAAGTCTCACCGATTTAAATCGTGGATAAAATCCTAATTGAGTAAAATCCTTGTAAAATCCCGATTTGAATCATAAAATCCCTCAAATTGTGGGATTTTACGATTTCACTTCGATTTTGAAAATTTCTCGCAAAGTCTATTTTGTTGAACCCTATCGTACGCCTCTTTCATATATCTACTTTTTATGGAATCTAATTTGCCTCTAGCAGCTTTGAACCCTAACATTGTTGTCAATATTCAACAGTTCTCCTATTGCGTGCAACCTGGTCTGCAACTAAATCTGTTGTTGTTGTTCTTACATCTTTTCTATTCTGGTCTACTTTTTATTCATGTAAATGCATTACATTTTTATGGAATAAATTATGATTTGTGAGTGCTACGTTGTTTAAGTACTTTTACTGATTTGAAGCTTTTTTCCCTTAATTTATGATATTTTATATGAATAATATGAATTTATATCATATATATGAATTTTATAAAATCTTACGATTCAATTTACGATTTTACGATTTACAATTTTCACTCTCCTTTACGATTTAAAGTAAAATCCCGATTTTAACTACCTTGATAATAGGAACCATAAATTAATAACAACGTTGGTTGATTGATATTTAATCTTCCAGCAAGTAAGGAATTTAAGGTTGTACTAACACCATAAGGTACATATTATGAAGGGATTTAAAACTTCAGATTAAACATGAATGTATTCCCATTATCTGTCAAGTATTTTATTCTGTACCACCTTCCAAAACCAATCTAGTTGAGAGTAGTATTTGTCCCAGAACTCAAAATTCACTTATTCATTCACTGATCACAAGCCATTCTCAACGCACCAAGGCTATGAGAGGTTAACCCCATAAGATCAGGAAACAAATACGCACCTTTGATACAATCGATACATGATCTTTCACTGCTACCCTTCCTCCCATAGTCACATAATCTCCTATGCTGAACATGCCAGAGTACCGGAAAAAGTTGTAACACCAGCAATTCAAAATCCTCAAAAAGAAATTTAGTTCCAACATGAATTTGACCTGATAAATCAAAACAGCAAAAGAAGGAAAAAAAAAAAAAACAATAACGTACGTTGCTGAACCTGCAATCCCAACTTGTCCACAAAGCAAGCAATTCTTCCCAATAACTACATTATGGCCAATCTGCAGAACCCATCAGAACAAAAGAACAAATCCTTCTTTTCAATTGTGAATGCTAAATGTTAACCTGAACTAAATTGTCTATCTTCGAATTGTCCCCAATAACTGTCTCTCGCCAGCTGCATAAACAAAGAGTGAGTAAAAATGAAGCTGACAATTATTCCAAGTAAAGATCAAATTAGAATACATTTTAACGCATGATTAAGCAAAAATAAAATGATAATAGCCACTAAAACACTAACCTTCCCCTGTCAATGCATGTATTTGCACCAATTTCCACATGTTTCCCTATTAGTACATTCAACATCTGACAGATTTAAGCAAGAACAGCATATTAACTATTATGTTGATACAGAATAGGCAAGGTGAATGAAAAATATGGTATATTATAGTCTGATAATAAACACACACACAGTTTAAAATCAAAGTACAAATAAGATATACAACCAACCTGAGGTTTCTTTATCATATTACCGTCTCCATCCACATAAAATCCAAATCCTACATGTGAAATACATCCATTATTATCATACAAAAATTGATAATACAAAGACATGCCCATTGTTAAATTAGTTTATTGAAATGTGCACGCATTGGCCACTATTCAATATTATGCATCATTTGGTGCAAAAGGTTAAACATCTCTGAACCACAAATATTATAATTGTTTCAGGCAATACAGCAGAGTCCATACTAGAACTCATTGTTTCTTAAAGCATACTTGGACTAAATATTATAAAAAAGAAGTTAAGAAATCTAGCTTTACCATCTTGACCAATGCAAACTCCATTGTGGATTACACATGAATCACCAATACAGCAATTACTAAGTGTGACATTAAACCTGGAAAAGTATAGTAGTATCACAACCAAATCAGTAAAAATATTAAATTGTTTTGCATCGGACATAAGTTTAAATTGAAAATCTCTTTATACAAGTGTCTAGACATAATCATGCATGTGAACCTCTGAAAAGAGATAGAGCATCCGTCCAATTTAATGCATGCATAACCTACACCTATTAATTCCAATTCACCATGTTATAAGTCTCAGAATAATGAAAGTAGGTTATACTTCATACCTATAATAGCATCGTCGGTATTTTTCACAGTTAGCTTCTACCGTAACTTTCTATAATAACATATTAACATAAGCTTTTAGTGTAGAGCGAAAACCTATCAAGTAATAGCTAAAAAGGCACAAAGTCTAAAAGCAACAGTTACGAGAGCAACCAAAGAGTTTAAAACCAAAATGATTTCAAGCAATAATATTGATGGGACAAAGTTGAATAGCTTCGTTACAGAGAAAAAGGGAAGTGTACCCTATCATTGTTGAATGAGCAATTGAAACAGAAGGGCCAACAATGGTTCCAGAACGTATACGTACATTTGGACCAACAACAGATTCTGAATGAACTACGGCTCCAACCTCTACAACTGCTGTGGAGTCAATGCAAGCTGACTCGTGGAAAGTGCCACCCCCATTATGCCATTTATGAAATTTATCACCAGAAGGCCCACAACCATCCTCTAATCTTGAAACAAAAGTCAACCGCAAAATGGAATCAATTAATTAAAAAGGGAAAAAGGAAAAGTGCATCAACAAATGTAGGGAACGATCATTCACCTGAAGAAGTGGAAGAAGAAGAAAATGCGGAGACATAGATCAAGTTTGTGTTTTGATTGAGTTTGAGAAAAGGGGTTGAAGTGGAACAAGCAAATGCAAGTACCCTCCTTGCAGCCATAGTCATCGCAGATCAATCACTCACTTGGTTAGTTGATAGAACGCCAGTAGTACAAGGGTTCGTCACTACCTTACATCCTAGTTCGGGGCTCCGACCAATTTCGGTCTATATATACAACTGATCCAACTTGGGATTCAATGGGCTACTTCATCGTTTTTTTCGGCCCATGAAGATTTGGAGTTCACCGACTTTTTGGTCGATCAAATGAAAGAAGATAGTTGACCAAAAAAACCAGACCCTCAGGTTTTCATTTTTTTACTGAAAATATTTACTAATTGAATCTTTTTTTAAAATAATCATTTAAACTCCTGTTAAACTTATTTACAATACTTTTTATATTAAAATAAATCACTAAAACACAAAAGTAATTATAAATATTTAATAATCACCTCTCTTGATACTTGTGTTTTTTCTTTGCACATTTTCTACGAGTAAAATAGATATAATGTTAAGATAGTAATTTTAAATGTGTTAAAAGACAAAGTTAAAATATATATATATATATATATATATATATATATATATATATATATATATATATTAGTGAGAGAAGATGATCAACTTGTTTGTGGCTTTATTTTAAAAAAAGAAAATGTACGATACTGAAAACATAAAGGAAAGTGCATTTTTATAAAGCAAAACAATATATAAAGGAAGCTCTGAGAGGAAGTAAGCAGTTCTTGTGAGTTTTTTTATAATACTACTAGCACGGAATGAATAAAGGAAATAAAATAGAACACTGAAGCAGTTGCTACTGTTACTCTGCCAATGCAGGTCTGCTCTGTGAACTTGGTTCTGAAACCAATTGGCAATTTTTTTATCCTCCTCTCATCATCAGTGACATCTCTTGCTTATCTGTTAGATGTTATTTATTTTCATTTGACAACACACTGATTGGAGCTTATAGTCCGGGTCAAGAAAAAAATTGGTTTCAGTTTTCTTTTTTAAACTCTAAAATTTGGATACAGTTTACTTAACATTTCAAACTCAAGAAGCTTAATTTCTTTGCTTGCGTAGTACAATATTCAAACATGACAACTATACAAATAAAAAAAGCACAAACAAAAACGTTTTCCTGGAATTATAAATAATGATTTGGTTGAAGTTCAACTAGGTGCCATTGTCGTTAGTTTTTGGCTGTGGTCAGTTTGAATTAATCACCAGCTTAGCAACTTCTGAGTAATTGCAACATCTTTTACTGAGTTGTGTATACTGAAAGAATAAACATTGAAATAAGACCGCAAACTTCTCAATATGCATCAGAATCAGAAGGAAAAGAAAATGATTCATTCTCTAATTGTTTCCAAATCCATTCCATTCTTCCTTCTTCTTTGTACTCTTGCTTTTCTATTAGATGTTGCTTTTGCTGATCCTCCATATGAAATTTGTTCCACAAGCAGCAGCTATGCAAACAACAGCACCTTTCAAAACAATCTAGTCAACCTTCTCTCCTATTTATCCTCCAATGGTTCAATCTCCAAATCCTATAACGCTTCTTATGGAATTGGCCCAGATAGAGTTTATGGCCTCTACATGTGCCTAGACTATGATTCAAATGAATCTTGTAAAAAATGCATAACCACAGCAATTGAGGACATTGTCAAACTCTGTCCTCAAGCAGAAGAAGCAATAGTATGGGAGGAGGTCTGCCAATTACGTTATTCCAACAACAATTTCATGGGTATGTTGAATGTCACAGGGAACATTGGCTTAGATAATAAACTGAATATTTCAGAACCAGAAAAATTAGAGTCTGCTGTGAATGAGATATTAAGTAATCTAACTGAGATGGCATCTTTTAATGTTTCGGCTAACAATTATGCAACTGGAGAAGTCCCCTTTGAAGATAAAACAATATATGCCTTGGTGCAGTGCACTAAGGATTTATCAGCCAATGATTGCAGTAGGTGCCTGCAAAATGCCACAAAAGATATACCAGGTTGTTGCTATGCCTCCATCGGTGCAAGAGTTCTGAGTCGTAGCTGTTATTTGAGGTATGAATTTTATCCGTTTTATCTTGGTGCAACAGAACCCACAGGTTCTCCAACCAGAAATAATGAAGGCAAAAGTAAGCATTTCAAGTCAATTTCATGTTTTGACAATGGTCTAAAACTTAGCACCATCTTTCGAAGTTGCATTTGATTGATCCTTTATGCAGATAATTCAAGCAAAATATGGATGATTACAGGCATTATAGTTGCGGTAGGCTTGGTGATAATATCTGTCACTTGCTGCCTATACTTTGTCAGGACCAAAAGAAATAAACAAAGTAAGTTGTTATAGAAGGTATGTTCAGTTTGGTAAATTTTTTGGTTCTCCTAACTCATTTAGTTATTGTCTTTAGGTATGAATGGAATATACAATCATGTAATCAATCTTCAGAACTTTGGTCAGCAAGGTGAACCAGCATTTCATCACCAGAAATTTCGAGGAACAAATGACAAAATATCTGAGGACTTCCCTTATATTGATCTTGGATCTCTCTGTGTGGCTACCAAAAACTTTTCTGATTTAAATAAGCTTGGACAAGGTGGCTTTGGCCCTGTTTACAAGGTAAAATAAAATCCATAGGTTAAAGATTCATCCCTTCTTGCATGAATATTTATTATAGGACAGTTCAAATAGATTTTGTGTTTTTATATTTTTGCAGGGAATACTTAGTGATGGCCAGGAAGTAGCAATCAAGAGGCTATCAACTTGCTCTGAGCAAGGCTCCGAGGAATTCATAAACGAGGTTCTGTTGATAATGAAACTTCAACACAAAAATCTTGTAAAGCTTCTGGGATTTTGTGTAGATGGAGAAGAGAAAATTCTGGTGTATGAATTTTTACCCAATGGTAGTCTTGATGTTGTACTTTTTGGTAAGTATATTCATTCATCACTATCTCAAATCATAACATTCATTTTACAACTTGTGGAGCACTTCATGTTTACGTTTTTGTTGATATGGATAGATCCAAAGGAACGTGCACAACTCGATTGGACCAAACGCCTCGATATAATAAATGGCATAGCAAAGGGAATTCTTTATCTTCACGAAGATTCTCGACTGAAAATAATTCATAGAGATCTAAAAGCAAGTAATGTGTTGTTGGACTATGACATGAATCCAAAGATCTCAGACTTTGGAATGGCCAGGATATTTGCTGGAAATGAAGATGAAGCTAACACTGCAACAATAGTTGGCACATAGTAAGCGCTTAGTTTCATGCATCCACATTTACCCTTCACATATATTTACATGCTTAACGTAACCTGAATTCTATGACCTCTCTTTCCTCACATTTGCAGTGGATATATGGCTCCAGAGTATGCAATGGAGGGGCTATATTCCATAAAGTCTGATGTTTTCGGCTTTGGAGTACTATTGCTTGAGATCATTACAGGGAAACGTAACGCGAGTTTCTATCACTCTAAAAACACTCCTAGCCTTCTATCATATGTATGTGTCTACCTCTGAAACTGTCAACATTTTAAATATTTGAACTTTAAATACTTAACATTATGAATCACTTTGTAGGCATGGCATCAATGGAATAATGGGAAGGGGCTGGAATTAAGGGATCCCTTGTTATCTGATTCGTGCCCCGAAGATGAGTTTCTGAGATACGTGAATATTGGATTGCTATGTGTTCAAGAAGATGCATATGATAGGCCAACCATGTCTTCCGTTGTTTTGATGTTGAAGAACGAATCAGCAACGCTTGGCCAACCAGAAAGACCACCTTTCTCTGTAGGGAGATTCAATGCTAGTGAGCCAGATTGCCAAGATTGCTCAGTTAATTTCTTAACCGTGTCAGATATATTGCCGCAGTGAATAAATTAGAATCTCCCCTCCTTGTCAATCTTTACTATATGGATTATGAAGCCCCAATTTAATCTACCACATTTTAGGATATACATGTAAAATTAATGTTCATATTTTGATATAAATAAATGACAATGTATATAACTTAATGCATAATAGTTTTTTTTTTGTCACGCTATTCGCATGGGTTCCAAATTATTACATTCTTAGTCAAGTTTACAAAAATAACATATCATAAACTTTGGTTGTAATTTGTTCCATGAGAGTTTAACAGATGAGACAAAAGTTGAAATCGGAAGTGAGAAAAATCCAGGTTGTCATTCTCGAAACTTGTGAATATCATGTTAATTCACAAGAGAATTGGTCAAACTGCAGAGGTTGTTACGACATAACAAGCAGAAGCCAAAAGTTCTGTGAATTTTCTCATGCCGTGTATCAAAAAAATTCCAAATACGACATAATTAGGGAAGAAAGTAATAACCACACGTGATGAGGTAAGAATTTGCAAAAGCAACGCAATCAAGAACTTTGACTTCAGATGCTCGCCTCTGGCCAACGGAATATGAATTGCATCACATTGCCATAAAGGCCATCAAATTCGACATTGCTAAGAGAAGCTTGAACTGAAAGGTTATAGCAATAATCAGCTGGCGAGATCAGCTTGGAGACTTCTTAGTTTATGTTAGTTTTAAGAATGAACCCAGGACTCAACCAAATTGAAGTTGCATCACTTCTTAAAAAATAAAAAATAAAATAGTTCAGCTTACTTCATGATACAACTAAGGCCATTAATAATTTAGATATTTGATATTGATGACATGTTAGTGCTACAGTATGATAATTTTATTAAAATATTAAATCTAGACTTCATTAAAGTACCAATTGTATATTAAATGGACTTCCAAGACGAAGGTCACAGATACCTGCTCCATGTTTAAATCACGCCCCTTTCTTAATGATTCAGCCTCATCAACCTTGCCGCCCGTTGAGTGTGACTGAAACATAAAGATGAAACTTAAACTATTGACCAGTATATAAGATGAATAAAAAGAAAAACTAGTGATTAGCAATAAGTTTAGACCGTTTACCAACTTTGTATTGGACTAAGGACCTAGTGACTCCAGTGGTTATTTGCTTAAGAATTCTTGAAACCATCAATATTAAGTATCCTTTCCTTTGTTAACCCTGTTGTGAAAGCTGAATCTCCATTCCACACGCTATAAAGAATATTTATGCTTCAAAAGCCATGATATTTTAACTAACCTGCTCCATCATAATTGTTGCCTTTTTGCCGAAAAGGTGATCGATTTGATATTGGAATCATGGTCAAAGATAGACCTTCACCTGTGCTTTTGTGCATCATACTTTTGTTATCTATCAACAGGGTTTCTTGTGCAGACCCTATTGATACTTATTGTTCAAGTGAATTCCCAACTTACACCCCCAATAGTTCATTCCACAATAACCTCAAGCTTGTTTTGGAGTTGCTTTCCTCCAACAACGCTTCAAAGACGGGTTTCTATAACACATCTGTAGGAGAAGGGTCAAACAAAGTGTATGCACAAGCACTTTGCAGAGGGGACATCACCAACTCGACAGTATGCAAAGAATGCGTTGAGAAAGCAAGCCAAGATATAATGAATGAGTGTAAGAGTGAAGATGCAATAATATGGTATGAGCTTTGCCAAGTTCGGTACTCCTTTCAGATGTTTTTCTCAAGCATGGTTTATACTGGAAAGTATCCAAAGCAAAATGATCAAGAGAAGAATGTCTCAGACCCTGTTCGATTTGATGAATTATTGATGTATTTAATGAAAAATATCTCATATGACGCTGCTTTTAATCCCGCTAAGAACATGTTTGCATCAGGGGAAATTGACTTTCCTGGAAAGAAAACAATTTATGGTCTAGTCCAATGTACCAGGGACATTTCTGAAACAGATTGTAATAGTTGTTTGAATTCTGCGTTGACAGAACTTCTTGCATGTTGCTCCTACCGGGAAGGAGGGATTATTCTTAGTCGGACTTGCAATGTGAGGTTCCAATTGTCTGAGTTCTTCAATACTTCATCAGCATATCTGTTGATTTACCCAACTTCCAGAAGTAAGGTTTTTGAATCCCGCAAAATGCATGTGTTCTCAAGAAATTATTCCTACTTTTCAGCTACACTATCTGTTCTGAAAACAATTTCAAAATCATCTTCATTGATTATTAATTCAAAGAGATGAGAATATTAATTGACATGAGTAAACATATCACACATAATTGCATTACAGAAAATGGTTGGGATATCACTTATTTTATAAAAAATAGTAGAAACTCAACAAGGTAATAGTAATTGTAGAAGCCTTGGTAAAGAGAGTATATTAGATGCAGGATAGTTCAATTGCTAGAGGCAGAGGGAGACTAAAACAATTACAAGAAAATTAATTAAAAAAGATTTAGAAAATTAATTAGTGATAGAGTCTATTGATTAATTTTTATTCAAGTAAAACCATAATATATTGTATTCTTATTTGTCTATTCACATCTCATAAAAGGACAATCTTAGAAAATTAAAAGAAATATCTAATGAGGGGTGTGAATAGGTAATTAGGATTGTCACATTCTAATTTCATCCATATTGTGAAAATGGAATTGATAGAAGGTTACTTCAATTTGCAAACAGGAGGAAAATGGAAGCCTTGGATGTATGTATTGACTGTATGTGGGTCAATTTCAATGTTAGCAATTCTTATTGGGTTGTGCACTGCTTGCCTTCGACGAATGAGTTATAGAAAAAGAGGTCAAGTTTTATAATTATAATTTATTAATAATCACAAAATTACATAAGAGCTGTAAACTTCTGTTTTACTTTACTTGATTTTGATTTGTCTTTGAAATATAAAATGAAACAGATGAAGAAAAAAGCAACAGGATGCTACTACAAGAGTTGGCTAGCCCTAAGAATGTAGCAATTACTAAAGAAGGCGACTTGATTAGTTCTGATGAACTGTTGTTCATGACTTTAGCACCCATTAAGGCCGCAACTGATGACTTTTCCGATACAAATAAGCTGGGACAAGGAGGGTTTGGTGCAGTGTACAAGGTCCTATAATCCACTAATATTCGTTTTTGGCCTTGGTGGGGTCTGTTTGACATTCATGATATAATAATGTTTGATTTTGAATTTTACATTGCAGGGTGTTCTATCTGATGGTAATGAAGTAGCAGTCAAAAGATTATCAAGAAAGTCTTGGCAAGGCATAGAGGAATTCAAAAATGAGATCATACTGATTGCCAAACTTCAACACAGGAATTTGGTGAGGCTATTGGGTTGTGTCTTAGAGGGAGAGGAAAAGCTACTCATATATGAATTCATGTCTAACAAAAGCCTTGACCAATTTATCTTTGGTTTGTTCTATTGCTTACTTTTCAATTCATTAACCTTCTACATGCATCATCGATTAGTTGTATATAAAGATAACATTCAATTTACCCTTCGTCTTCATTATTCAAGATCCAGATAAACGTTCAAAACTTGATTGGAACACCTACCATGGCATCATTAATGGCATAGCCAAAGGACTACTTTATCTTCACGAGGAGTCTCGATTAAAAATCATTCATAGAGACTTAAAACCAAATAATGTGTTGTTAGACCACGAAATGGTTGCCAAAATATCTGATTTTGGCATGGCCAGGATATTTTCTGAGAATCAGAACGCAGCAAACACTAAAAGAGTTGTGGGAACATAGTATGCTAACTTTTACCCATCTTTTCTTTTTTGTAATTGTCTTAATATTTTGTTTTAAATTATTTTCCATGAACTGAAATATGAACATCTAACGATATTGATTTACAAAATAGTGGATATATGGCACCAGAGTATGCAATGGAGGGGTTGTTCTCTATGAAATCTGATGTCTTCAGCTTTGGCGTTATCTTACTTGAAATTATCAGCGGGAAAAGGAATAGCGGCTTTTACATGACCGAACTTGCCCCGACGCTGCTAGCATATGTAATTCAATTAATCAAACTCTTGATATGGGAGTAGAAATCACTTCTCTTCTGTTAATCCAAAATTGGAAATAAACAATTGTGGAGAAAATATATGTAATTATATTAATTCTAACTATGATAGGCATGGAGGCTATGGAATGAAGGAAAAGGATTGGATTTTGTGGATCCAGTGCTATTGGAATCATGTCATTCCTTTGAAGTTCTAAGGTGCATGCAAATTGGACTACTATGCGTGCAGGAAGATCCGAGACAAAGACCCACCATGTCAAATGTGGTGGTTCTCCTGGGAAGTGAATCAATGGCTCTTTCCCAACCAAGACAACCAGCATTTTCTATGGGTAAGGTGCTTCATGTCGATCCATCTACACCAACCAATCCTTTCGTGAATGAGATTATATTTTCTGATATTTTACCACGATGATTTAGCACTTTGTTACAACGTAGGAATTTTAGTCTTTTACCATGTGTTCTAGACAGTAACACAAATTGAGACCTGTTTTATAATGTCTGATACACCATATGTATACTTGAAACTTGACTGACTACTTGTTTATAGGGAATTCAAATGTGTAGCCTTCGTTTACCTGTGACATGAATTGTTCTACTTCTGGAAAATGGAAATTTAGGAGCCATCACTTTGATCCTTAAAAGTGATAGGTCAATCATTTTAGTCCTTAAAGAAAATTGATTACAATGTCCTTTAAAATGTATTTACTAGTTATTTGGTCCCCACATTAACATCAGTTAACAGACATGTTCACCTGTCACGTAAAGTGTCTTAAAGAAATATCCTTGTAAAGAAAGAATTTCTTTCCCTTGTTGCGACTTTAATTGAATTTGTCAGTAGAAGAACAGTACCTTTTTATGTTGGAGAATATACATGTAGGCCAGAATTTTCTTATATACTCGATCTAAGTCTTTTATTTAATTTAAATCTAAAGGGTTATAATTTATTACTTCACTGCCAGTTAGATTTAAGTTAAATGAAAAGCTTAAATTGGAGTGTAAGAATTTTTAGACTTACACTAGTATAAAAAAATATTTTTTATATATATTCTCACACTAGTGTAAGTCTAAAACTTTTTCGATCTAAACTTTTCATTTAATTTATATCTAACGGTCAATTAAGTAATAAATTATAACTTATTAGATGTAAGTTAAATTAAAAGTTCAGATTAAGTGTATATCTCTAATCATTGGCTTTATCCGATACTAATGTGAGAAGATTATGCCTAATATATATATTGTTTGTAATCCAAATATCATACAAGAAAACATTTTAAATAAATAAAAAATAAAAAATATTATCAATAAATAATTAAAATATTTAAAATATGTATACTACTTAATATTTACTTTATGGTTTGCATACTAATATAATTTTATATAAACAAATTTATTTGTCTGAAACAATTTTTTGTATGTTTTATATATAAATATACTTTTGATTCATTTTAAAAAAATTATTCTCATGTCAACTATGCATGATTATATTTATTAGCTTAATTCAACAATATAAAAAAATAAATAATTTTTATTAAAAATATAAAAAAATTAATAATTTTTATGATTTACTTTATCAATAAAAATATTTTTATATTAATCCTATAAAATAACTATTTATATGTAATATAAATATTTATTTTTTGTGATATAGAAATTGATATTCTTATATGTGATTTTTTTATTTGAGTAATATAAAAATATTTATCTTAAATTTTTACTTATTATAAAAGAATCTTTTAAAAAGAATTTATAATTTAAAAATTATAATAAGATTACTTAAAATAAAAAAATTACCCATTAAAAAAAAGATTAGTGCTTATTAGTGGACTTTTTTTACGAGCTCGAGATTATCTAAATAGTAGGGTTGAAAAATCAATTTAAATTATATTAATATGTTAATTCGATTTAAAAGAATTAAAAATTGAATAAATTGACAACAAAAAATTATCTGTTATTGATTTTATTTATATTTTCTATTTTATTTAATACTAAATTAAACCAAACCCAAAACATACAAAATTTATAATAATTTTTTTATATTATTATATAATTAATGAGACATTATCTTAAATTATATTTTTTAAAAATTTAATTTTATATTTATTTGGAATTTAAATCAAGTTATGATTTATAATAAAATTTAACACTTTTAATATATTTTCATATTTATTAAATGTTTAATTTTTCTTTTAATAAGTATTATCTCTTAAATAAAAAATCATATATTAATAGAATATTCAATATGTACTTTTTTAATAAAATTTTATTTATTTTTTGACCAATAAATTTAACTGTTATCTCTTCAAAAATAAAGCAAAAACTAATCTAACTGAACTAATTCAAACAACAAAATCTTGAATTAGTTTGATTAAGTCTTTATATTATTTTTAAACAAATCTAGTCTTAATATCTTGTTGGTTTAGATATCTTACCAGTTGATTACATGCTAAATAATGAACACTTTAATATCTAATGGTATTCAAAGAGATATTTATAATTTATAAAATTAAAATTAAATTTATTAGATTGTAATTGTGCGTGTAAAATATGTGTCACACAAATAAATATTTTATATAAATAAAATTTATTTTAAAATTTTATATAATTTTTATTTTTGTAGAATTTAAATTTTTGTCTTTATAATTTAAATATTAAAATATATTTTATTTTTTCCTTATGCAAATTGTAATAAAAGATTTTAAAAATTAATTTCAAAAGAAAATATATTTAATAAAAAAATTCAAATATATACATTTAAATTAATCATTTAATGATCTAAATATTTGCATAATTTTTTAAAAAAAATATTTATTTATATAAATTAAATATTTAGTTTTGTAATCTTGATATGAATACATTATCATTCTAATATAGATATTTATTTACGTAACTTAAATGTTAATGTCTGTTAGTGTTCAATCTTTTATCCCTATTCTTAAAATTAAAATGAAGCAAATAGAATTACACCAATAAAAGCTATATTAATATTTGTAAAATTTATAAATGTCTCAAAATTTTATTTAATTGTGATTATAATTCTATTTTATAAACAATAGTTTACACACAAAAACTAAAGTCCAAAATAACTACATATAAGGGGGGAAAAAACAAAGCATTACATATTTATCAAGTCAGTTCAATTTCAACCATTTTTTTAGCTTCTTGCTAGTTTTGGTATTATGCATCGTGTAATTTGTCCACATACATAATCAAAATGGCATTGTAGAATGAAAACATCATCACATTGTTGAAATGAGATTCACAATCTTGTCTCATGCTTCTTTACCATTCATGTTTTGAGATCATGTGTTTCTCAATATTGCTTACTTGATCAATAGATTACCTGCAATTGGTCAAGATGTGCTATTTACTCAGTTGTTTTACAAAGAACCTGATTATCTCTGTTTTTTCACTTTTGCTTGTACATATTATCCATTTGTTCATCCATACTGTCAACATAAGCTACCTTTTCACTCCAAGGAATATGTCTTCCTTAGTTATTTAGAAGTTTATTGAGGTTACAAATGTCCTTCATTTGATGGCAGACTTTATATTCTTAAAGATCTTCTTTTCAATGGGTCATGATTTCCTTATCTCTCCATGCTCCCAGCTCACGAGCCCTCAACATCTTCCTCTGCACTTAATTTATCATCTCCTTTAGTTGTCATTCATCATAATGTTGTAGTGCCTCCTCTCAATTCTATAGATGTTGTAGTGCCTCCTAATTTTGTGGCTAATGTTGTCTCTCTCAATGATGTTGTGCCTTGTGCTCCTACAATTCCCTAGTACATCTAATATTATTCTTACTGATAGACAATGTTAAGTCACAATCAAAACAACTAAATTATTTAAGGATTTTGTAGTATAGAGCTAAAACTAAGTTGATTCATATAGATATATTTTCAGTTAAATTCAATTTTAAGTTTTCTTTTAAAGAACGCGAGTAAACTTTTGGGAGTTTTAAAAATTGTAAATTAATCAAATTAAATTACGAACGGAATAAAATTGAGTAAAAATGAATTAAGAAATATCAATTTATAGAATACCAAATGCGTATAACCTCGATTATCACAGTATATAAAGATTTTAATCCGAGTTTGAACGTTTACCCAATTCAATTATTAATTCGATTAAATAACCTAATTGAACTAGATCACAGATTAAATCAAATTATCATTAAACCTAACCCGAATTAATTATCAAATTAGAATATCAATTGAATCCTAGTTTGAATTCTAACCACAGAAAAGTTAATCACAATTGCAATACACAAATTTGAGATTGGAGAAAAGGTAACAAACTCGACGCAATTTGGCTCAGAACTCAAATCAGATGTACAATGTTTGGATTCTACAGATTGAATAGGAGGTTTAGTCTTCCATCGAAGCACTTAACTCATGCGAGAATGAGAGAATTTGAGAAAAAGTAAAAATAATGATTCTTATTTTAGTCAAATCTCAAAAACTCAAAGTGTCTAATCGCATCCTCTAATTTAGAATCTTATTAGTTTATTTATAGGTTCTGATTAAGGTAAATTAAGTGGCCAAAATTTGAGCCTCAATAATATCTAAAAGTCCAAATACAATTATTAAATAACAAGGATCCAAATGTAATCCTGCAATAATACTCAACAAATCTGTCTCAACTTCAAAAAATCATAGAAAATCCAAAATAACTACAAATACAATAATCCACATATGTATTTTGAAGCCCTGGATGTATAGAATCTAATGCAACTGTAATAAGACAAAAACGATACCTGTAGACAAAGTTATGGCCAAAAGAGTAATCAGAAGTAGGAATAACTGAAAATACAAAATTAAAACATTTATATGTAACAAGTCTAATTTATTCAAATAACTAAAAAATGATAAAAACTCTAAAAATAAAGCACATAAAAAGTATTTATTAATCAACATAAAACTATAAATGTAAACCTAAAATATGTTACATCATTTATCATTTTCTTCAATCTCTAAGTCAACGTCCACTCATCCAATGCAGACGTGTTATAAACTACGTTGCATGGATACATGTTAGCCCATAAATTTTAACATATCATATATTATATAATATAAAAGAGGCATATATTTGTTCACAAAGATAATAAAATATATCTTATAATACAAAATTACAATACTTAAATTGTTCAACATGACATGACAATACTAAAACATAATTAAGAAAATTAAACTCTAATAGTATCAATCTCATTATTTTCTTCCCCATCATTAGTGAAAATAACTACCTCCAAATTCAGTTCATCAAGAGAAAGACTGGTAACTTTAAGAATTCTGGCACCTTCAAGTGAATCTCATTCATCTCCACCAATATCTTACATTCTAATCTCATTCTCAATATAATTCTTACTTTTCTTTGAGAGAAGACGAAGATTTGTGTGTACAAATACTAAAT